TCCTCCTCCTCCTCCTCCTCCTCCTCCTCCTCCGTGACTGGCTGAAATAAGACTGGCGTGGAGGGGTGCTAGCAAAGTGTGTGTGGGGGGGGGTAAATATGGGTGCAAAGGTCTCCAGCCCCCCCTGGCCATCAGAAATCCCTAAAAACCATCCAGCGCTGCCTTGAAAACCAACCCAGCAGAGGACGGGACCCACCCATGAGGGTGCGGGAGAGGGGGGGTTTGGAGGGGGAGAGGGAAGGGGGTCCCCTTCCAGCCTGAAAAGCCGCCCTGTTCCCCCCCACCCCCCATACACACTCTCCCACACCCCACCAGATGCTCCTGGCATCTTGGGAGAAGAGGGGGGAAGATGCAGAGAGCTAAAATTAGAAGTGGGGGTTCGCATCTAGCTAGGTGCAAACCCGCAGATCCGCAAAGGAATGTGGGTTCGCCAAAGGACAATGCTTGAAAGCTAGAAAAATCCAGCAGAAGCCTAGTGGGTCTCCGAGCCTGTCACCCTAACGCGAACTCGAAGCTAAGGATCTAGGTTCGAAGCCAGCTTGAGGGCAGGAAAGCCTGGGAGACCCTTATCTCCAATGAACCACCCAAAAGCTGGAAGTGGAGCTGTGGCTCAAGTGGTAGAGCACCAGCCTTGAGAAAAAGGAAAAGGAGAGAGAGAGGTTGCAGTTACTTTTGTGAAAATTACAGGAACAAATGACTACCCAGACCTCCTAGTCACTAAATAGAGCTGGGCAGTAGATGTGTGTGTATGTGTGTGCACATGTGCATGTACACACACACACACACACACACACACACACACCAGCACTGGGGCTTGAAAAGAAAGTTTTCTTTCTTACTGGACACTGTCTTGCTTGCCACAGCTCCACTTTCAGCTTCCGGGAGGTTCCTTGGAGATAAGAGTCTCAGGGACTTTCCTGCCCAGGCTCTGAACCCTGTGATCCTCAGATCTCAGCCTCCTGAGTATCTGAGATTACAGGTGTGAGTCAGCAGCACCTGGTTAGGGTTTTAGATTTTGGATGCTGTTGCGTTATTTCCAGAACCACTTTGATTTTGTCCCATTTTTTCCCTATTGGGAAATTCCATAAACACAAAAAAAATGCATAAAAGATAAATAACCAAGCCAGGCACCAGTGGCTCATGCCTGTCATCCTAGCTACTCAGGAGGCTGAGATCGGAGGATCACAGTTCAAAGCCAGCCCAGGCAGGAAAGTCCGTGAGACTCCAATAAACTACTCAGAAAACCGGAAGTTGCACTATGGCTCAAGTGGTAGCTTGCTCACCTTGAGCTGAAGAGCTGAGGGACAGCACCCAGGCCCAGAGTTCAAAACCCATGACCAACAAACAGTAAAATAAAATAAATGACCAGGTTAAGAAATTGCTATCAAATGAACACACAGGAAACCATCACACTGGACTCTCCAGAGCTCACACATTTCCACACACATTCCTGCTCCTTCCGCCCGCCGGCAGTAGCCTCAGCCTAGCTCTAGGGTGTCAACTCCTTTATACTTTTATTACTTTGTTACATGTTTATAAACAGTACCACTTTGGCCTGGCTTCTTTTTTACTGTTATAGACAGGGAGCGCATATTCTGTAGCAATGATTGTGTCTGTCAGATCCATTTGTAACTGTGACACCTGGGGTTCCTTCACGTTCTGGGCTATATAGTATTCACTTGAAAGAAAAATACCATTTGTTTATCCACTAGCCAGTGAGTTAACATCTGGATTGCTTCAAACATCACATAAGCGTGTGTAGCAGTTGCCCTGGGCGGGAATCTTGGTGTCTACAGAGAATTCCTATCTCCTGGTTTATAAGTTATCACTCTACCTCCTAAAATGGCCTCACCAAGAAAAAAAAAAATGAAGCTTCACAAAACATGAATTACAGCCTCTAAGTAAGAAAGAAGAAGATAGGCAAATACAGTTTCCTTCAGTGTTGTCTAATTGAAGCCTAGTTATCCTCCCTCTCCCCCCCCCCATCCCCCTGTATAAATTCACCCACCCTAGGCCTGGGCCTTAGCCAGCAATGTACATTAACTTAGCTTTAAGTTGTTGTTTTTTGTTTTGTTTTGTCGGTTGTGGGGCTTGAACTCGGGGCCTGGGTACTGTCTCCCAGCTCTTCAGCTCAGGCAAGCACTCTACCACTTGAGCTACAGCGCCACTTCTAGTTTTCTGGTGGCTTATTAGAGATCAGAGTCTCATGGACTTTCCTCCCCAGGCTGGCTTTGAACCGTGATCCTCAGATCTCAGCCTCCTGAGTAGCTAGGATGACAGGTATGAGCTATCAGCACCTGGCTTAGCTTTAAGTTTTGTTTTCTGGTTGTTGTTTTTTTGAAGTTTTTTTTTTCAAATGAAATTTAAGAAAATCTTGATATTAAGATTTTCGAGTTTAGGGCTGGGAAGGTGGCTCAGTGGTAGAGTGCTTGTCTCCCATGCATGAGGCCCTGGGTTCAATTCCTCAGCACCCCATAAGCAGAAAAAAGCCAGAAGTGGCACTGTGGCTCAGGTGGTAGAGCGC